CCCCCCAGCCACAGGACTGCTGCTTTTCACCACTGCTCTCCTCGTTTCTAGGCCGTTCACCATGAACGTGGCTGTTCTCCTCCTCCTGGGGCTGGGGCTGTTGGAGGCGGAAGGCAGGTGTGTCTTCAATCGGACTGAGGAGCACTGTGTGTGCTACAGCCTGTCCGAGGAGAGCCTAAGCAGCATCATCCAGTGCCTCCCAGCCTCTGTGGTGGAGTTTTGGGGGGGAGAGCTGGAGAGATACATAGCCTTCCCCATCAGCGACTTGAACCCCTCTGCCATTGAAACGCTGGGCTCCCTCACCATCAGGAAAATAATTTTTGGTGACCTCCTGGTGCCTGAGATACTCCTCGCCCGAGTCCTGAGGTTCTTCTCCTACACCCAGGTGCAGGAGCTGGTGTTTGAGAGCTGCATTTTCGAGGGGAGAGGAAACTGGGCTGACATGGCTGGCCAGCGCTTGCCCATATTGTCCCTGCGCTTCCGCAATGTCACATCTGCCCTGCTGATGGGCTGCGAGCAGGACTTCTCCAGTGTGAGCAGCTGGCTGGAGACCCTGCAGGAGCTGGCTCTCACCGGCTCCCATGTCACCAGCCTGCCCTGTGCCATCGGAAGGGTCTTCAGAGCGCTGCGCTCCCTGGACGTGGCACAGAACAGCCTGGGCGATGAGAGCTTGATGCCCGCCTTCTGCGAGGGGGCTTTCCCTGAGCTCCAGGTACTGAGTCTGCAGCACAACAACCTGACCTCCTACCACGGCGTGTGCCAAAGCATGCAGCTGCTGCGTGAGCTCCAGCACTTAGACCTCAGCCAGAACAAGCTCGTGGCAGACCTGTCCTCCTCCTGCCACCCTCCGAATTTTTAACTTGTCCGACACTGGCTTGGATGAAGTCCTCACACCTCTGCCTCCCAGTCTAGAGGTGCTGGACATGAGCTGCAACCACCTCCATGCCGTCGACATCTCCCTCAGCTCCCTGAAGAAGCTCTTCCTGAGCCACAATGTGCTGCAGGCTGCCCCCTCGGTCAGGAATTACCCCATGTTGGACACCCTCCACCTGGACAACAACTTGATTACAGAGCTGCCGTGGGATGAGGTGAAGCTCCTGGGGTACCTGATGGATGTGACTGCGGCTGGCAACCCCTACAACTGCTCGTGCCCTGGGGCCGGGGGGCTCCAGGCGCTGGCGGGCATGGGGCACCTTGGGCAGGGCTGGCCCCAGGACTACACGTGTCGCTCCCCGCCTCACTACCGGGGCAGGCTGGTGAAGGACGTGCTGGTCTCGGTGCTGCAGTGTAACAGCGCTGTGGTTATCGCCCCTGTCTGCGTTGCCCTCGTCCTGCTCAGCGTGGCGGGGGCCGTCTGCCTGGTCAGATCCAGGCCCAGGCTTGTCCGATCCTGCTGCAGAGTGTGAAGGGGATGTGTGACCATTCCCACCAGTGCTTCCCCCCTGCAGGGGCTCAGTCCCGGGGGCTGCAAGGCCAGGAGCTCTGTGGGAAGACTTGCAGGACCCCCAAGTCCTGGTGGGGCTCTCCCAGTGTCCCCAGTCCAGGCTCCCCTGTGGAGTAGGACTGTCCCCAGCGTTATCCCACAAGTGGCTGTGGCTTTGTCTGTCCCAGATTTTGGGGAACCCCCCCGAGCAAAGTCCCTTGCCCTGCTCTGTCCCGGGGCTGCACCCCCCTAGAGTGGTTTTCCTTATGGCCAGCTTTTAACTCCCCAAGCCCCAACATGCCCCCATGATATCATCTACCCCGAACGAGAGTTCAGCTCCGTCGCGTGTGCACCACTGCAGCAGTGCCGAGATGCCCCAAGCCGCACTGGGTCCTGGTGGTCCCTGCCCAGAGCCCCCCCCTGCACCTTGTAGCCCTGTGGCCCACAGCCCAGCAGTCCTTGCAGCCTCGGTGGCCTGATCCATGGCTGGGCCGTGGCTGTGAGGATGGCTGGTTTGCGAGGATGGCTGCTTGCCTGCTGTTCAGCATAAGAGAAAAACCACAAAAGGCAGGAAAAAATAAAGGAAATGCCCCCATACACAAACGCTAATGAGCCGGAGGTCACAGGGGCAGCAACCAAGACCCGAGCTCTCAAGGCACTGGTGGACAGACCCTGAAGAGGCTCAGCCAGTAACTTTTTAACTTTTTCTAAGAAGAAAATGGGTTTATTCTGGGCACTGGGTTATTCAGACAATGTATCACAGAATCACAGAATGTTTTGGGTTGGAAGGGAACCCCAGAGGCCACCCAGCCCCACCCCCCTGCAGGAGCAGGGACACCTTGAACCACATCAGGTTGCTCACAGCCCCATCCAACCTGGCCTGGAATGTTCCCAGGGATGGGGCCTC